CGGTTAATGTGAGGCGGTATAGTTGACGATACAACTCGCTGGTCTCGTCTCGGGCCGAAGTAGCCAGTTGGTTTGGAGCAAGTGGCGATTGTTCGCGCAAGGTGCGAATCGTTTCGCGTTGATCGGACGAGAGGTGAGCTAATTGACGCTGTCTCTCTAAAAGATCATTAAGATCTGTCCGCTTGAGCACGACTAGGCCGGATTCCTCGGTGAAAAGATCAACTTCTGCGCTAGGGTTCTCGAGGTCGATTTCAGGAGCCACTGCGCGCTGAACCAGTAGCTCTGCTATATCGTCCATGAATGTAGAGCGGTTGCTTGCTGAAGCCATCGTGATCTGCAAAAGTTAATTATAACGTAGTTCGCGATCGAAGATTCTTTCGTGCAATTTTTAAATCATTGACGTGATATTTTCCGATTTTCTTTCCATGCAAATCACCAATGACAACTACCAGGGGAGATAATTTTTCTACGACCATGGCAGGTCCTTTGTAACGCGGTGCTAACTTCGAACTATAATTGCGAGCCGCATTTGATAAGGTGTTGTTTGGGTAAAACACGTAATCACCGATCTCGAAAATAACATCATTTTTTCGATTTTTGTTATAAGCTTTGATTTGTTTTTCTCCAGCTTTAATCATAATTTTTCGAATTTCAGCGTGAAGCGCATCGATTCGTCTTACGCGATCGAGCCAGTCGTTTTCAGATTCGTCAATACGTCTGTTGTTCAAATTCGTGTCGGGCAATTTTTCACCGGTGCGTCTCGGTTCGCGAGCGAAATTGAGAAAAGCGGGGGTTACGCCTAACGACGAATGGATGGTCGTATTATACGCGAATTGAATTTCTTCGATAGAAATATCCCATTCGCGATGATCAGTACCGAGTAAACTCGCGATCATCGTCTTTAAATTACGATTCACGCGTTCGACTGGGTTTGATTGTGGATGGTAAACTGGAGTCGTTCTTTGGACAGAGCCTATTTCTTGGAGAAATTCGTCCATTTTCTTGTTCTTGAACTCAGTACCGTTATCGGTCAAGAACGTTAACGGGGTACCCCAGCGATTAATAAGGGTTCTCAATGCTCGAATGATTTTCGTCGCCGTTGCTGCGGTTAGCGTGAAGCAGTCGATAAATCGCGAATAAACATCTTCACAAACTAAAATGTAATGTTTACCCGATTTCGATCGAGGGAGAGGGCCCATTATATCGAGGGAAACCGTTTCCCATGTTTCCTGAATTTTTCGAGGATACATCAATCCTTGAGGAGGAGAATTAACGGGTTTGCATTTCAAACAAATCTCGCATTCCTTGACGTATCGTCGAATGTCTTCGCGCATTCCTGGCCAATAATAGAGGTTAAGTATCGAATGATACGTTTTATTGATGCCTTGATGCGCGGACTGTGGCGTATCGTGATGCTTTGAAATTAAGGGAATGATTTCGTCTTCTCTCACGACCTTTTTCCAGGCGTTATTATCGCCAATAGTCTCTTTAAGCTGATTGGGCTTATAATAGAAAAGCTCGTCATTCGAGTCGAGTTTGTATCGTTCGAAATGAAGAGGATTTGCGCGAACGCGTTTTCGAGTAGTGTCATACCACGATTGGTCACTGACTAGATTGAGTCGCGAAGGGGGCGTTTCTACCGGGGGGTCCTCGTAAAGACGCGAAAGAGTGTCGGCTGCCTCGTTCATCGTTCCCTTTCGATGTTCGATTTTAACGCGATTCGCGGCCAATTCGAGGGCCCATCTCGCGAGTCTACCCTTAGGATCTTTTATTCCTTGCAACCAAATCAAGCTCGAGTGATCTGTGAGAACTGTGAACTCGGTTCGCTCGATATAACAGCGAAGTTTCCGGAGGGGTTCGATCACGGCCAAGCATTCCTTTTCGGTGGTAGTATAATTTACTTCCGCACCTCTCAAAGGTCTGCTCGTACACGTGATGAGGTATTCGCGGTCTTCGCCTTTTTGTGTGAGGATTGCGCCTATACAGGTATCGCTAGCGTCTGTATACAAAAGAAAAGGTAAATCGGGACGTGGCGCATTCAAAGTCAGTGCATTTTTCAATGCTTTCTTGACTTCGATGAATGCATTTTCGTGCTCTTCAGTCCAAATCCACGGTACTTTTGGACTGGCCAATTTATTCAATGGTCCCTGCACTTTTGCGATGTTGCATAAGTGCCGGTGGTACCAATTTACGGAACCATTGAATTGGCGGAGCTCCTTGCGATTTTTCGGTCGAGAGCGTTCAAGAATCGGCTCAACCTTTTTCGGATTTGGTTTCAAACCGTCTTTATCGAGAAGATAACCAAGATATTCGACCGATGACTTGGCGAAAAACGATTTTTCGCGATTTATAGACATCCCGGCGTCACGAAGGATTTTGAACACGATTTTCAAGATCTGCAGATGTTCCCCGAATGTTCTGGAGATAATAATCCAGTCATCCAGATAAGCGTGGACTTGGTCGACAAATCTTTCGGGAAGATCGTGTTCTCGCACGTACTCAACGAATTTTTCCTTCAAACGATCCGTAAATGCCTGAAAAGTGGCTGGCGCATTGGTGAGGCCGAAAGGCATTCTCACCCATTCGAACTGTCCACGACCGGGGACTATGAAGGCGGTATATTCACGCGACTTCGGGTCAATTGGTATGTGGTGGAACGCGTCCGTCAGATCGATTGTGCTAATTATATTAGCTTCCGATAATGCGTCGAGGATCGAATCCATTCGCGGTAATGGGTACGCCGATTTTTTTTGTGACTTTGTTGAGTCTTCTATAGTCTATACAGACTCTGAGCTTCCCATCCTTTCGATAGGTAAGCAACGCGGGACTTGCGAAGCGACCGTTGCTTCTGCGAATAAATTTTCTTTCGATATATTTATCGATTTGCGCGTTTATTATTTTGTCGGCTTCTAGGCTACGTCGATATGGTTTTATTTTAAAAGGCGTTTCGTCGGTCAGCTCGATAACGTGTGTCGTTAAGTCGCTGACGATACCCGTATACGCGGCGAAGTTTGATAATTCTTCGTGCAAGAATTTATCGAGTGTTTCTTTTTGTTCGGGGGTTAATTCTATTAACTGTGCCGAATTTATGAAACTAAATTCATCGGTTCGAGAAGTAAAGAGGTGTCGTTTTTCTGACCCTTCTATGGACCAATAACCTCGTATGGCATTTATAACAACTTTCCATGAGGTTATAATGTCCATGCCTAATATAATTGGTGTGGTGAGTCCGTCCATGACTGCAAACTACAATTCGCCGTTACAATCGTCGATTGTAATATCAAATTTAGCCGAATAGCGAGGCGCGGCCACGTGATCGCGTTGTGCGAGTTGCACGCCGGCGCGCGTTATTTCGTCGTAAATTGGAGAACCGTTAGCTAATCTTCTTATTTCATCGAATAATTCGCCCGACATAAAGGTGCGATCGCTACCCGTGTCGAGAAGTCCTTTAAAGACTCTATTGCCTATCTTAATTAGCGTGGTAATCGTACTACGCTTTTGAGACGGTAAGGGCGATGCGGGCCCTTTTTCTACCATGTGGTCCAATTCTCTTTTTATCAATAAAAGAATATTAGAAGGACCTGGAGAGGGTATTGACGCAAACGAGGATATATTCGCTCCCACCACGTTCTTTTCGTCGGTAGGAGGGGTATCCTCGTCTGAGTCTTCATACTCCGTTTCAGATGCCGTATGGTAGCATTTGCCCCAATCGCAGTCGGAATCGCTAGCGCAATCTTTGTTGGCCGATGCTTGATTGAGCGTTGAGGCATTTTCAAAGAGGCGCGTTGACTCGACTGTGGTGTGGCTGCAGCCAGGCGTTGCGTTGTCGTCGATTATCGCGTTTAAATTTGGCGTTGATAGTTTATTCGAATTTCCGATTTCTTTTGGAAAATTGCCAGGGAGATTTAATCTCTCCTGGCTTCCCTCTCGTTTTTTGATTGCTGAGGGTTGCCCTGATAAGGGGTATTCGGAAAATCGCGATTATAATTATTATACCACGGGTGTGGAGGCGGTGGTTGTTGCGGCCCGTGTGGCGGTGAATACGGCCCTGGAGCCTGAGCGCCACAATGACAATTCGGTGGACATTGATTCGTGAATTGGTGGGGGTGACCGTAACCGGAATTTGGGTAGCCTCTATGGCCATTCCAACCACCTCGATTTCCTCTACCGCGGTTATTTGATCGGTAACCGACCCTATTATCGTTTTTATTTTTTTTATCGTCTCGATCGTCGCGATCGTGATTTTTACGCGTCGATGATCTGCGTCTTCCTCCCCCCTTCCGAGACGAAACGGAACATGAGGAGCGAGAAGAACTAGAAGAAGAGCGATGACGCGATTTGCGCGAAAGAGGGGGGGTTTTGGATGGTTTTTCCGATTTATTATCGCTATCTATTTTTGAGTTCTCGCTTTTTGGAAGTTTTGCTTCTAAACTTTTTATTTGTTGTTTGTAAATCTCGACTTTGTTAAGATTTGCCTCTGGTTCTTTCTTTTTATTAATTTGCGCTTTCTTAACTGTAGTTTCCGCTTTTTGGTCTTGTTTGGGCGGGGTTTCGACTTTTTCATCGATTTTGGGCGATTGCTCGTCGATCGCGTTCAATTGTGATTTCCCGCGCGTGGAATTTCGTTTTTTTGAATCATATTCACGGAGTTTTGTCGAGAGTTTCATCGTCTCGATCTTATCTTCGTATTTATGAATTTTTTGAACGAGTCCGTCAAAAGTTGTAAACGAGTCCCTGTGAAAATGAATGATTAATTCTGCGTGGAGCGCAGAATAAATCTTATCGAGTTGACTGGCTTCGGGCACTTTTTGTTGTAATTTGTTAAAAAGTGCACTTATTCTTATTACAAACTCGATGCCAGATTCTTTTTCTGTTTGAACCGCGCGTTGGATCTTGTTTGTGATCTGTTGATCATCGTTAAGGTCACCGAACGTGAGCAAAAATCGTGTGGAAAAGTCTGCCCAAGTGTGCCAACTATTTCGGAAAGTGACAAACCACGTCTACGCGTGGTCAGAGAAAACCATCGATAACGCCTGTAGAACGTCGTTCGGATTTACAGCTGTCGCGAGCATTCGAATTTCGAATTCGTTTATAAAATCAGTGGCGTCCAATTTACCTGGGTATTTAAGGTCCCATGATTTTATAATTTTTAATAAATTCGGTAGGGCAGTTCGCGGTGCTGGCTGTGGCGGTGCGATAGGCGTTGGAATGTTCGTGGTTCCGCTGGGTCCCGGAGTTGGAAGGGTGTTATCGAAATAGGTGGGGGTGGTTTGGAACTGCAGTTGACGTGATTGTATGGGTGGTCCTCGAGAAAGCGGGGTGGCGGTTTTTAGGGAAGGTAAGCTATATGTCGGCTGTGTCCCCGTGCCAAGCGATGTTAGAGTACCTGTAGTTGTCGTTGTCACTGTCGTGGTTGTGGTGGTGGGGGGAAGACATGTCAAATGGGGCATGTGTTCCCCTGTAGTGTCGAATGCCCATCGAGAATCGTGCCAAGGCGATTGATTTTGTTTCAGGTGAATATCTGAAACTTGTCGCGAGAGATTTTCGATAGCTTTATTTAATTCGAAACGGGTTGATTTTAAGGCTTGTGAATTTTCGACTTGATGACTTGTTATCATTTCCATGGTGGTTTCTTTAAATTCGTATAATTCTTTTCGATTTTGAGTTTGAAAACTTTCGAGTCGAGAAGAAGCCGAATTCAAATGTGTTTTCAACATTTGTTGAATCGATTGTTCGAAACGATCATTGTTTCGAATTTGGTCAGCGCGATATTCCGCGAGAGTGCGATCTATTCGTTCCGCCGTGACAGGTGTTCGCAAACCTGTCGCTCTCGTACGTCGTGTGAGGAGACTGGTTTTGGGAACTGTCGTTTGACGTTTGCGTCTACGCATTGTGTTTGGATTCGTATCTGACATGTCCATGTGTTGGCTTTGTGTATCGACTTGAATGTTTTGTTTTTGTTCCGAAATATTCGTATTGTTTTGATTTGTTGCCATCGCCAGAATGCTTGTATTCTCTTCGAGATTAGGGTTGGTGGTGGGGAGACCGGTCGGTGAACGCGCGAGTTGGGTTGTCGGCTGAAAGGCAGCTGACGTCACGGAACGCGTGTTGGGTCGGTTGTTTCCCCCTTCCTTTGGTCCTCTTTCAGTTGTGTTGGTCATTTGTAATTTAAAAAAAGAATTTTTTTTTTTGTAAAAAAAGAAAAAATTTTGTAAACTTGTTGAAAATAAATAAAAAAAATCGAATTTTAATTTTTATATTAAAAAGTAGTTTTTATTTTATTAATTCAAAAAATTTTTAATTTTGATTTGAAATTTTATTTAATTCGATGTCGAAATTTTATTTCTCGTTGAATTATCTATTCTATGACCAAGCTGGTAAGAAAGAAAAAAAAAGGTCTCCAATTCTCGGAAAGAGACTATAGTTTGTTTACCTCGAGCGATCGAGATCGAGATTACGCATTTTCGGATGTCGAAAATAAAATCATGGAATTAAATTAAATTATTTTCCATGGTATTTGTCACTGGTTTACAAATTGTTATAATTTGATAATTTATAAAAAGCGAAGCAGTAATCGTGCACGAAAAAAGCGAAAAAGCGTGCTAAAAAAAAAATTTTCAATCCAAGTGAAATAAGCGAGAGTGAGAGAGAGCGAGTATATACATATATTTATTTTTTTTTGTCATTCATGCATTCATTATAGATTTATTTTAATCGTTGTGGAAATTCCGTTCAAGATTTCTAATATTTTTCCCGATTTAATTGAGAAGGAAATTTGTTCGAATTTTTCACAATACGCGATTAATCGATTTCGATAAAAAAACATTAGAAAAGTCTCGATTCACGGCTGTGGAAAAGACCGCATGTCGCCGCCAGTTTGGGGTTATGTGCGAAATTTTCCACGCACGAGATCGAGAAAAGTTGACTGAAAAGTCGTATGAAATTAGAAGAAAAAAAGTTTTTACAAGGGAACAAAAATATTGTTATCGATATATTTTTTTTTTGGCTTGTAAAAAAAACACGTTGGGCGCCAAAAATGTGACAAACTTCGCGAGATTTAATAATATTAATTAGTATCAAATTTGCGTGGGAACGACTCCTTGCGATTTTTCGGTCGAGAGCGTTCAAGAATCGGCTCAACCTTTTTCGGATTTGGTTTCAAACCGTCTTTATCGAGAAGATAACCAAGATATTCGACCGATGACTTGGCGAAAAACGATTTTTCGCGATTTATAGACATCCCGGCGTCACGAAGGATTTTGAACACGATTTTCAAGATCTGCAGATGTTCCCCGAATGTTCTGGAGATAATAATCCAGTCATCCAGATAAGCGTGGACTTGGTCGACAAATCTTTCGGGAAGATCGTGTTCTCGCACGTACTCAACGAATTTTTCCTTCAAACGATCCGTAAATGCCTGAAAAGTGGCTGGCGCATTGGTGAGGCCGAAAGGCATTCTCACCCATTCGAACTGTCCACGACCGGGGACTATGAAGGCGGTATATTCACGCGACTTCGGGTCAATTGGTATGTGGTGGAACGCGTCCGTCAGATCGATTGTGCTAATTATATTAGCTTCCGATAATGCGTCGAGGATCGAATCCATTCGCGGTAATGGGTACGCCGATTTTTTTTGTGACTTTGTTGAGTCTTCTATAGTCTATACAGACTCTGGGCTTCCCATCCTTTCGATAGGTAAGCAACGCGGGACTTGCGAAGCGACCGTTGCTTCTGCGAATAAATTTTCTTTCGATATATTTATCGATTTGCGCGTTTATTATTTTGTCGGCTTCTAGGCTACGTCGATATGGTTTTATTTTAAAAGGCGTTTCGTCGGTCAGCTCGATAACGTGTGTCGTTAAGTCGCTGACGATACCCGTATACGCGGCGAAGTTTGATAATTCTTCGTGCAAGAATTTATCGAGTGTTTCTTTTTGTTCGGGGGTTAATTCTATTAACTGTGCCGAATTTATGAAACTAAATTCATCGGTTTGAGAAGTAAAGAGGTGTCGTTTTTCTGACCCTTCTATGGACCAATAACCTCGTATGGCATTTATAACAACTTTCCATGAGGTTATAATGTCCATGCCTAATATAATTGGTGTGGTGAGTCCGTCCATGACTGCAAACTACAATTCTCCGTTACAATCGTCGATTGTAATATCAAATTTAGCCGAATAGCGAGGCGCGGCCACGTGATCGCGTTGTGCGAGTTGCACGCCGGCGCGCGTTATTTCGTCGTAAATTGGAGAACCGTTAGCTAATCTTCTTATTTCATCGAATAATTCGCCCGAATTAGAAAAGTCTCGATTCACGGCTGTGGAAAAGACCGCATGTCGCCGCCAGTTTGGGGTTATGTGCGAAATTTTCCACGCACGAGATCGAGAAAAGTTGACTGAAAAGTCGTATGAAATTAGAAGAAAAAAAGTTTTTACAAGGGAACAAAAATATTGTTATCGATATATTTTTTTTTTGGCTTGTAAAAAAAAACACGTTGGGCGCCAAAAATGTGACAAACTTCGCGAGATTTAATAATATTAATTAGTATCAAATTTGCGTGGGAACGACTCGCGATAGTCGAACACAAAAAAAACAAAATTTCCACAATGCAGTGTGCGAGAACACGAGAAGATGCAGTGCGAGAGGATGGCCAGAGCAGCAGCGAGATAAGATCCTCAATGATGGAATGTACAGATCAAACGGATTTCCCGGTGATGAATTCTTGACTGGACCTGGTGAACCTAATAGATTGGCCAATTAATCCTCCACTTGCACTACGAACTAGATCAATAATAAATATTATAACAACAACAATTTATCAATCGAATAAGACACTTTAATTAATGAAAAAGAAGGTTACAATCGTGGATTGTCAACAGTTCGATGCGTAACAATATAACGCTCGCGTCTCTCTGTCCGTCGATCAGCCGGCGGGGTCGAGAGCGTCGTCAAAGTCCCAAAAAAGGCATCGCTGTGCCCTCTGTGGGTCAAGTAATATAATAGGTGTAACATTGAGGATGTTACGCAGGGGCAATCATTTGATGGAGACGTTCATTAAGAATAAATAGTAACCCCGTTCGTTACAACCATTTCATCACCACGTGGTACTTAAATTATTTATATAAACCTTTAATTTTTGAACGCATTTAAATAATTCAAATTAAATTTTGAGTAAATAAGGGGACGTACATATAATACGTCACGCAGAAAGGGGAGAGGGGGTCAATGATTCGTGACGAAGTGTGACATGGGGAAAAGGGGGGTAGTTCTATCGTTATGTCACACTTTTTTAAAAGTGTGTAGAACGACTAAAACTGTTTTTCAAATTTTTGGAGTGCATTTCTTTTTTCTTTTATAGAAAAATTCTGTCGGTCTTAAGGGGGATCCTACTTAAAAAGGCCTAAAAATAGCGCTTTTTTAAGAATTTTTTAAATAAGAAATAGTGCACTTATGCATTTTCAAAAGAGAAAATATAAGATATATATTTTTATTTAAATATTGTCAACAATTATATCGGACGATCTGATTTATAAATAAAACAAGTTAAATTTGCTTTAAACTATTTAATATTTATCATATTTTAAATTATATCTACACGGAAAAAAAGTACAATTGAATCGGAGAATTTTTTTGCTATAACAACTAAACATTTCGTGAATATCACTGGAATAGCCATATTGAATTTTAGTCGAAAACAACGTAACCTTAAAATGACAGATATTATTAAAATTGTGTAAAGAATAATATTAAATGCGCATTTTTAAATCCTTTCAATCCTAGGTTACAAATTATAACCAATGAAAAGTAAATTGTTGAAATTAGTATTATTTTAAAATTGATAAATCGCAAAACTTGACACTTTATTAAAGAAATATTTCTTGGCAAGAACGGTAAATTACCAAATATTTCCAATATGGCTGAATAGCTAGATTCCACCTAAATTCACTTTAGCTGAATCGACTAAACATTCGGCTATTGTGCAAAGCTTAATTCACTATGTTGGCAGTGTTGTTCTTTATATTTATTATATTCCCAATATAGCTCGTTCGCTATCATAAAATTTTTTTCCGTGTATTGTTATATTAAATATATGCTAACTTTTCTAATGTAATGGAGTAGAAAATTTTCACATGTGTGATGTGACGTTGTAGGGCGAGGGGAGTTCAAAGTTTGTGACTAAATGTGACATGGGGGGAGGGGAGTCAAAAATGGGCAAAAATCGCGTGACGTATTATGTGTACGACCCCTAAGTAATGTATGTATGTATGTATGTATGTATGGATTTATTATACTGAAGGAAAATTAAAGACATAATTTATTTACAAGGTTTAAACCAACCAGCTGCATTAAAAAACGACAAACCCGAAAAATCAAGGAATGAAAAAAACCGTACTCACATTGATTTTGCAACAGCGGGTTCATCAAAAGATGAACCTGCAAAAAAAAAAAAAAAAAAAGAGTAAAAAACAAATTGAGCGTGCTTTGGCATATAAAACCCTTCAAAAAGAAAGAAAAAGGGAAATTAGACGAATTCAAAAAGCAAAGAGGTTAAAGGAACTTAGACAATTTAAGTAAATTAGCCGTTAATTCAAAAACTTTTATTACTTGTTTTATTCGTTACCTTGTACATTCGCCAAAAATGAACGATAAAGTTAATTAAGATTAAGATTAAGTTAATTACGATTAAGTTAATTAATTAGTTAAGTTATTTTCTTGGGTACATTTCCAAACAAAGAAAAAATCAATTTTTTTGATCATCTAAATTGGGATCTCCTTAAATAAGGTTCAACTAACAAATTGTCCCATTTAAACTTAAGCGACTTATATCCAATAGAGTTTATAAGACTTTTTTTTTATTACATATGTAGATAAAAATCATTTTACAAAAATTGATTTCATAAATTAAAAATATTATAAATAGATAATACTACCAACAGAATGCCTCAGATGCATAAATCTCTGTCAATATAGGTGAATAAAGCAAATTTCGCGCCCCTCATGAGCCTGGGATTTTTTCCGACATGTTAGTTATTCTAAACGAGAGATTTGACATCTATAAGCGAGAGTTTAAATAAAAAAATATTGCTCGATGCATACGGCAAAAAGCAGACTATCAATAAACCGCAAATGTACTCCAGAGGATTTTACTTCAATTACAACT